AATGACACAGCAATACCATCTGAACTATGGATAGACACAATGACATAGCTATAACATCTGAACCATGGATAGACACAATGACACAGCTATACCATCTGAACTATGGATAGACACAATGACACAGCAATACCATCTGAACCATGGATAGACACAATGACACAGCTATACCATCTGAACTATGGATAGACACAATGACACAGCAATACCATCTGAACCATGGATAGACACAATAACACAGCTATACCATCTGAACTATGGATAGACACAATGACACAGCAATACCATCTGAACTATGGATAGACACAATGACACAGTTATACCACCTGAACTATGGATAGACACAATGACACAGCTATACCATCTGAACTATGGATAGACACAATGACACAGCTATACCATCTGAATCATGGATAGACACAATGACACAGCTATACCATCTGAACCAAGGATAGACACAATGACATAGCTAAACCATCTGAACCATGGATAGACACAATGACACAGCAATACCATCTGAACTATGGATTGACACAATGACATAGCTATACCATCTGAACCATGGATAGACACAATGACATAGCTATACCATCTGAACCATGGATAGACACAATGACACAGCTATAACATCTGAACTATGGATAGACACAATGACACAGCAATACCATCTGAACTATGGATAGACACAAGGACACAGCTATACCATCTGAACCATGGATAGACACAATGACACAGCTATACCATCTGAACCATAGATAGACACAATGACACAGCTATACCATCAGAACTATGGATAGACACAATGACACAGCTATACCATCTGAACTATGGATAGACACAATGACACAGCTATACCATCTGAACCATGGATAGACACAATGACACAGCTATACCATCTGAACTATGGATAGACACAATGACACAGCTATACCATCTGAACCATGGATAGACACAATGACACAGCTATACCATCTGAACTATGGATAGACACAATGACACAGCTATACCATCTGAACCATGGATAGACACAATGACACAGCTATACCATCTGAACCATGGATAGACACAATGACACAGCTATACCATCTGAACTATGGATAGACACAATGACACAGCTATACCATCTGAACCATGGATAGACACAATGACACAGCTATACCATCTGAACCATGGATAGACACAATGACACAGCTATACCATCTGAACCATGGATAGACACAATGACACAGCTATACCATCTGAACTATGGATAGACACAATGACACAGCTATACCATCTGAACCATGGATAGACACAATGACACAGCTATACCATCTGAACCATGGATAGACACAATGACACAGCTATACCATCTGAACCATGGATAGACACAATGACACAGCTATACCATCTGAACTATGGATAGACACAATGACACAGCTATACCATCTGAACTATGGATAGACACAATGACACAGCAATACCATCTGAACTATGGATTGACACAATGACATAGCTATACCATCTGAACCATGGACAGACACAATGACATAGCTATACCATCTGAACCATGGATAGACACAATGACACAGCTATAACATATGAACTATGGATAGACACAATGACACAGCAATACCATCTGAACTATGGATAGACACAATGACACAGCTATACCATCTGAACCATGGATAGACACAATAACACAGCTATACCATTTGAACCATGGATAGATACAAGGACACAGCTATACCATCTGAACCATGGATAGACACAATGACACAGCAATACCATCTGAACTATGGATAGACACAATGACACAGCTATACCATCTGAACCATGGATAGACACAATGACACAGTTATACCATCTGAACTATAGGCAGACACAATGACACAGCTATACCATCTGAACCAGGGATAGACACAATGACACAGTTATACCATCTGAACTATGGATAGACACAATGACACAGCAATACCATCTGAACCATGGATAGACACAATGACACAGCTATACCATCTGAACTATGGATAGACACAATGACACAGCAATACCATCTGAACCATGGATAGACACAATAACACAGCTATACCATCTGAACTATGGATAGACACAATGACACAGCAATACCATCTGAACTATGGATAGACACAATGACACAGTTATACCACCTGAACTATGGATAGACACAATGACACAGCTATACCATCTGAACTATGGATAGACACAATGACACAGCAATACCATCTGAACCATGGATAGACACAATAACACAGCTATACCATCTGAACTATGGATAGACACAATGACACAGCAATACCATCTGAACTATGGATAGACACAATGACACAGTTATACCACCTGAACTATGGATAGACACAATGACACAGCTATACCATCTGAACTATGGATAGACACAATGACACAGCTATATCATCTGAATCATGGATAGACACAAGGACACAGCTATACCATCTGAACTATGGATAGACACAATGACACAGCTATACCATCTGAACCATGGATAGACACAAGGACACAGCTATACCATGTGAACCAGGGATAGACACAATGACACAGCTATACCATCTGAACTATAGGCAGACACAATGACACAGCTATACCATCTGAATTATGGATAGACACAATGACACAGTTATACCATCTGAACTATGGATAGACACAATGACACAGCAATACCATCTGAACCATGGATAGACACAATGACACAGTTATACCATCTGAACTATAGGCAGACACAATGACACAGCTATACCATCTGAACCATGGATAGACACAATGACACAGTTATACCATCTGAACTATGGATAGACACAATGACACAGCAATACCATCTGAACCATGGATAGACACAATAACACAGCTATACCATCTGAACTATGGATAGACACAATGACACAGCAATACCATCTGAACTATGGATAGACACAATGACACAGTTATACCACCTGAACTATGGATAGACACAATGACACAGCTATACCATCTGAACTATGGATAGACACAATGACACAGCTATACCATCTGAATCATGGATAGACACAAGGACACAGCTATACCATCTGAACTATGGATAGACACAATGACACAGCTATACCATCTGAACCATGGATAGACACAAGGACACAGCTATACCATGTGAACCAGGGATAGACACAATGACACAGCTATACCATCTGAACTATAGGCAGACACAATGACACAGCTATACCATCTGAATTATGGATAGACACAATGACACAGCAATACCATCTGAACCATGGATAGACACAATGACACAGTTATACCATCTGAACTATGGATAGACACAATGACACAGCAATACCATCTGAACTATGGATAGACACAATGACACAGCTATACCATCTGAACCATGGATAGACACAATGACACAGTTATACCATCTGAACTATGGATAGACACAATGACACAGCAATACCATCTGAACCATGGATAGACACAATGACACAGCTATACCATCTGAACTATGGATAGACACAATGACACAGCTATACCATCTGAACCATGGATAGACACAATGACACAGCTATACCATCTGAACTATGGATAGACACAATGACACAGCTATACCATCTGAACTATGGATAGACACAATGACACAGCTATACCATCTGAACTATGGATAGACACAATGACACAGCTATACCATCTGAACTATGGATAGACACAATGACACAGCTATACCATCTGAATCATGGATAGACACAATGACACAGCTATACCATCTGAACTATGGATAGACACAAGGACACAGCTATACCATGTGAACCAGGGATAGACACAATGACACAGCTATACCATCTGAACTATAGGCAGACACAATGACACAGCTATACCATCTGAATTATGGATAGACACAATGACACAGCAATACCATCTGAACCATGGATAGACACAATGACACAGTTATACCATCTGAACTATGGATAGACACAATGACACAGCAATACCATCTGAACTATGGATAGACACAATGACACAACTACACCATCTGAACTATGGATAGACACAATGAAACAGCAATACCATCTGAACTATGGATAGACACAGTAACACAGCTATACCATCTGAACCATGGATAGACACAATGACACAGCTATACCATCTGAACTATGGATAGACACAATGACACAGCAATACCATCTGAACCATGGATAGACACAATGACACAGCTATACCATCTCAACTATGGATAGACACAATGACACAGCAATACCATCTGAACCATGGATAGACACAATGACACAGCTATAGCATCTGAACTATGGATAGACACAATGACACAGCTATAACATCTGAACCATGGATAGACATAATGACACAGTTATACCATCTGAACTATGGATAGAAACAATGATAAAGCTATACCATCTGAACTATGGATAGACACAATGACACAGCTATACCATCTGAACTATGGATAGACACAATGACACAGCAATACCATCTGAACTATGGATAGACATAATGTCGCGCGGAGATCGAAAATTCCCATTTATTGTGCAATTATTGATCGATGGTTATACAAATGTTTTTATGTTCTAGTTCGTGTTTATAGTTACTTATACATGTTTCTCTGATTACGATCCGGCCTTTAGTCGCTGAGTTATAAGCATTACAAGTTTAGAAACAAACACAATCTTACCAGATTGACCATTTTAAAAGTCGGACCCATTGCGAACGTAGGAGAAGTAATCTCAACGATCACGCGCTATACACGCAAAAAACACGCGTCCGACCGAAAGCACGTTTCACTTGTGAGTCTTGTTAGTTTTGTCTTGTACACAACGTTCATCCAGTTTCTAAATAAACGGAGTAGTCCTTCATTTTGACTGACTTCGCATACTGAGATTGTCTTGCTGTGTGTTAATAAGGGAAAGGACCTGTGCTGGACTTTATCCGTCCACAACATATGGTGCCGAGACCAGGATTATTGACACTTTTGTTCTTCGTTGTCCGGATACAACAATCTAGCTACAGCCATGACAAAGCTCAACCAACTAAGGAAGAAGCGGGACAAAGCTAGAAGGGTGCTTGTTAATGCACTAGAACCTGAAGAGGACTCAATTCGCACCTTCAATAGCCAACAAGACAAACCGTCAGCCTACGAACAAATAGCAAGTCGACTGTCGCGCCTACATCGACTAGAAGAAGACTCTATCGCCGCGCATCGTGAATTGTACGACCACTTAGAAGTAGATGATCCAGAATTCGACGAGGTTATAAAGGATAACCAGGAACTGTCCAACAGATGTGCTCGGGTCGATTCGTTCGTGGAGAAACATCGAGTTGTTTACAATCAATCGCAACAAAGTCAAATCAACGCCAGCGCGCGTAACCAGTCTCATAATTCTGCGGACCAACATGTTCAATTCCCACCATCACTGACATACAGATCGTCTATGCAACTACCTAAATTGGAAATCCCTAAATTCAGCGGAGACGCACTCGAGTGGAACCAGTTTCACGACAATTTCTCATCTGCGATCGACAGTGATGACCGATTATCCGAAGTTCAGAAACTCACCTATTTGAAGAGTTTCCTCACAGACGAGGCCAAACGGACAATAGATGGCTTACAAACTACACAAGCCAACTATAAAATCGCCTTCGATTTATTGAAAGAGCGCTACGGACAACCCAAGATGATTATCGACGCTCACATGCGGTCACTTTGGGCGCTACCGGCACCGAACAACGATCCCACGAGTCTGCGACGCTTCCACGATGAGGTCGAGACTACTATACGCGGTCTACGAGTTCTACACATGAACGAGAGCAGTTACGGAGCTCTTTTGATCCCCATGTTGTTGGATAAATTGCCAATTACCTTCCAACAACAACTCGCACGCAATCACGGGGATGACGATTGGACACTCACCGAACTGACCGCTGCTATGCGAGCAGAAATACGAGCTCTCTCTGTCGGCAATAAATTCTCTACACTTTCCTGTGACGATGAAACTGATACAAAGTCTACAGTTGCCGCCTTCTACACAAATACACACGCGAAGAAACCCCACAAACCGAGAAAACCCGCCTACAAGCCGCCCGCTGAACGTAAATGCGTCTACTGCCAAGAAATGCACAACCCGACTTCATGCGTCAAAGTGGCCACCCCAGAACTAAGATTGCAGTATGTCAAAACCAATCAGCTGTGCTTTAACTGTTTGGGATCTCATAAAGCCAACTCCTGTAAGTCAAAGTATAGTTGCAAAATATGTAAGAAGCGACACCATACTTCGCTACATCGTCATAACAAACAATCGAACGACAATAGCTCAAACAATTCAGGCTCTGAAACTCCCCCTGTGAGTGTGAATTTTACCCACGCTTCGCAGAAATTGGCGAACCGAAGCGATCGGTACTCAGGCGATCGTAATATTACACCGAGTAATCCCCCAAACCGTGTGTTGTTAAAAACAGCTACTATTCCAGTCTCTTACCGTGGTAAAATGGTCTACGCTACAGCTCTGTTTGATGAAGGAGCCGATCGTAGTTTTGTGACTCACAATCTCGCCCAAAGGCTTAACGCCAACGTACATTTCACTGAACAACTCAGATTGAAGTCGTTCAACAACCCGGATGCCGAATGCAAATCCGTGCCATGTACTACGTTACAACTACATACTAGAGACGGACAGAAAAAGCCCATCGATGTTCTATACGTTAAGGAAATTTCCGATAAGCTCACTAATGTTGTGACAACCAATATTACCAACATGCCCCATTTGCGAGGATTAAATCTAGCCCAAAAACCGATGCCCAGCGAGTCTACTATAAGAATAGACATTCTGATTGGAGCCGACAAGTACTGGGACTATGTCCGTAATCATGTTATTAGAGGCCCGGGACCCACCGCCGTCGATTCCGTATTCGGATATTTACTTTCGGGGCCTGTCGACCGAAACCACGTAACACGCGCCGCGGCGTTCACTGGTCAAACACACGTACGAAATACGCGCTCCAATAGTGTAACCGCTTTCCATTTCACCGCCGAAATACAAGCACTACGAACTAGTCAGGTGTTAGACAAGAACATTGCATCATTTTGGGACTTAGAATCTATAGGGATCCGTGAACAAATCAATCAAGATCCAGTAACAGTTGGTCACACAGAACAGTACAAGCAGTATAGTCAAAACTGCTTGGACGTAGTCAATGGTCGATTTAGCGCCAAATTGCCATGGAAACCAAATCACGATCCCCTGCCAACTAACTACTACGCAACTGAACAGCGCACGCGAAACATGGTACGAAAATTACCACGTGACATTATTCAGGCGTATGATAAGGTGATTACCGATCAGCTGGATAAAGGTTACATAGAGAAAGTTGTACCGGACAATAACAATACAGGTCACTATCTACCGCATAGGGCAATAAAACGAGAAAGTTCTGCCTCCACCCCAATTCGTGTCGTCTATGATTGCAGTGCTAAATCTGGGGCCGGTCAACCGAGTTTGAATGATTGTTTAGAGATAGGCCCTCACTTGTTGAACGACCTCACTGGTATCCTACTGCGCTTCAGAGCGAATCCGGTTGCCATAACAAGTGACATTGAAAAGGCCTTTCTACAAATTGGATTAAGTACAGAAGACCGCCAATACACTAAGTTCTTATGGCTATCGGACATCAAAGACGTCAACAGCGACTTTTCTACTTATCAATTTTGTTCTGTTTTATTTGGTGCAAGTCCAAGCCCGTTCATATTAAACGCGGCCATCAAAACACTCATCGACAATAACACTGACGTACCAGCCGCGAATGATCTTCAACAGAACATTTACGTAGACGATGTCGTAACCGGGAGCACAAACACGAGTGAAGCCATCCAATACTATCACGATGCGACACAGTTATTGGCTACACGCGGGTTCAACTTAAGAAGTTGGAGTTCTAATGACGCTGCTATACGCGAACTCGCCGCCCATGATGGACGGGGGAAATCCGATAACCCCGTGACAGTTCTCGGTATGAAATGGGACACAAATCGCGACATACTACAATGTAAACAAATCGAGTTGCCTAGTAACGACCCACTGATTACCAAACGTGACATTGTTAGTTACACCGCTAGTTTGTATGACCCATTGGGTTTGTTGACGCCCGCGCATATCGCCGCTAAACGATTAATACAAACGTTATGGAAACAGAATCAACACTGGGACACTCCTATCTCTGATAAGTTACGCAACGATTGGGAAGTAATCGCCGAAAACCTCCACTCCGCCTCCAAGATAAACGTGAGAAGACGCTATTTCAATGAAACGGACACTACTGTCAACAACGAAGTTGAAATACATGCGTTCGCGGATGCGTCTGACAAAGCATACGGTGGAGTTGTATACGTAAAATCAGGAAATGGAACTTCGCTCGCCATGTCTAAGACACGCGTAACTCCAGTAAATAACCAGACATTGACCTTACCAAGGTTAGAATTGATGGGAGCCGTAATTGCTACGCGGTTGAGCAAATTTGTATCTACAGCACTGTCTACAAAGTATAATGTTGCAAAACAGTTTCTCTGGTCGGACTCACAGATCGTTTTGCACTGGTTAAATGCACGCGGAAAACAGGACACTTTCACTGCAAATCGCGTAAGTGAAATCGTCAGTTTACCACAAGAGTTTAAGTACGTGCCGACCAAATGCAATCCAGCAGACCTGCTTACTCGCGGTATCACCTCCAAGGAATTACGCGATTCTGAATTGTGGTGGAAAGGTCCTCCGTGGCTGGGAAATCGTGATTCTTGGCCAACATGCGAGTTGTTTGACAAGCCAAACATATCTGTCAATCACGTAGCATTGACACCAACTGGGGACATCGATTTCGCGCCGCTAGTTCATCAGGATATCCCCGCTACCTATGTCAACAAAGAATCAATGACGTCATCATTAGATAGAAGCCCCGCAGTGACGTCACAGACCCGGGAAAGCCTTACCCGTGAGAATACTCCGTCGGTACCAGTCGGCAGTCACAATGCATCGCGCACCGTAAACACTAAGGAAGTACCTGTTGGATTACAATATGTGATCAATCTGGATGATTACAATAACAATTACAACAAACTTTTGCGAATTACTGCTTATGTGTTGAGATTCGTACAACTACTGAAATCGAAAGAGAAATGCACCCAAGATAAACCCAGTGCCACGGAATTAAATAATGCAGAAATACACTGGATTACTGACATTCAACATGAACACTTTGCTGATATATTCGTGTCTACCAAAAATGACAATAAGAAATACGGCCATCTTAGAAGCCAACTAAAGCTATTTATTGCCGAGGATAAATTACTACGCCTAGGCGGTCGTCTTCAATACGCAGATCTACCTTATGATACCAAACACCCGATATTGTTACCACGTGATCATCAGTTAACCCGACTTATCGTACGAGCTACACATGATCGTATCATGCACCGCGGACCCCAGTCTACGGTTAACGCCTTGCGAGATCGCTATTGGATAAATTCTATACGCCGCGTTGTGAATCACGTGCTCCACAAGTGTGTGGTCTGCCGGAAAGTCAGCGGACCAGCTTACGCAAAACCGATATCTACTCCGCTCCCAGAATGTCGGGTAACCGCGACACCTCCATTTCGAATCAGCGGTATTGATTATACTGGCGCCTTATACGTGAGAAGCGCACCCAACAAAACAGTAACTAAAGCGTATGTTTGTCTGTTTACATGCGCGACTACAAGGGCAGTTCACCTTGAACTCGTACCGGACATGTCTACCCGATCTTTCCTGCTAGCTTTTCGCCGATTCGCTGCCCGCCGCTCAACTCCATCAATGTTAATATCGGACAATGCTACTACATTTATTTCCGCAGCTCACGAACTGAGACGACTAATGAACGACCCCGAAGTTCAAGCATTGTTAGCGCATCACCGTACAATGTGGAAGTTTATCCCGAAACGCGCGCCATGGGTAGGCGGCTTCTACGAGCGTATGATTGGAATAACCAAATCAACTTTAAAGAAAGTACTGGGAAAAGCATGCGTGACGTTTGACGAACTGCAAACTATATTAACAGAGGTAGAATCTGTCATAAATGACCGCCCGTTGACGCACATCGCTAGCCACGCAGACGACTTGGTACCACTTACCCCATCTCACCTTATGATCGGGAGAAATGTATACAGTCTACCGTATGACGCGTCAAACCACCTGAGTGATCCTATCGCTCTAACTCATCATAATGTAAATCTTCGCTTTGAACATTTGGCAAAACTACAACGCCAATTTGGGAAAAGGTGGTCAGCCGAGTATCTCACCGCGCTCCGAGAACGCCACACTCACACCGCCGGAGGTGTGAAAAACAACACTATAAAAGTGGGCGACATTGTACTCGTTCATAGCGACGTGGAGAAACGAGTGAATTGGCACATGGCAAAAGTTACCCGCTTACTACCCGGCAAAGATGGACTTGTACGTGTCGTCGAAATCAAGACCAAACTTGGAAAAACAAATCGTCCCGTTAATAAGTTGTATTTATTGGAGACGAGTCAAGTCGAAGAACAACGGACTAGCGCCATACAGTCGCCACCAACCGTCCCGGATGTCGACAACGAACAGCTGACTGAGGGAAATCCAACTATGACGTCACCAGTTACCGGGAAACCCCCGAATGAGAACGGTGTCCCAGAAGACGCAACTGAGGACAGAGTAGACCAAATGTCCCCCACCAAGAATTCAAACACAACGCAGTCATCGCGACCACGGAGAGAAGCATTTGAAGTCGCCAACCTGCGTCTGATGTACAATAATAAATAAACTGACATTTATTCATTTCTCAATTACAAATATGAGTATATTGATCTCAGTTTGATGTTATTATGTTTGAAACTTCCCATACTATGAGCTATAGTATTACGTTAATGTTCATTTCATTGACAGGGTATTTGTTAATTCTGAACAATTGATTCATGTTTATGTTACAGACTTTACTTTTACTGTGAAATCGTCAATAATTGAGGCCATTTTGTCGGCCCCCGGAATATGTCGCGCGGAGATCGAAAATTCCCATTTATTGTGCAATTATTGATCGATGGTTATACAAATGTTTTTATGTTCTAGTTCGTGTTTATAGTTACTTATACATGTTTCTCTGATTACGATCCGGCCTTTAGTCGCTGAGTTATAAGCATTACAAGTTTAGAAACAAACACAATCTTACCAGATTGACCATTTTAAAAGTCGGACCCATTGCGAACGTAGGAGAAGTAATCTCAACGATCACGCGCTATACACGCAAAAACACGCGTCCGACCAAAAAGCACGTTTCACTTGTGAGTCTTGTTAGTTTTGTCATCCAGTTTCTAAATAAACGGAGTAGTCCTTCATTTTGACTGACTTCGCATACTGAGATTGTCTTGCTGTGTGTTAATAAGGGAAAGGACCTGTGCTGGACTTTATCCGTCCACAACATATGGTGCCGAGACCAGGATTATTGACACTTTTGTTCTTCGTTGTCCGGATACAACAATCTAGCTACAGCCATGACAAAGCTCAACCAACTAAGGAAGAAGCGGGACAAAGCTAGAAGGGTGCTTGTTAATGCACTAGAACCTGAAGAGGACTCAATTCGCACCTTCAATAGCCAACAAGACAAACCGTCAGCCTACGAACAAATAGCAAGTCGACTGTCGCGCCTACATCGACTAGAAGAAGACTCTATCGCCGCGCATCGTGAATTGTACGACCACTTAGAAGTAGATGATCCAGAATTCGACGAGGTTATAAAGGATAACCAGGAACTGTCCAACAGATGTGCTCGGGTCGATTCGTTCGTCGAGAAACATCGAGTTGTTTACAATCAATCGCAACAAAGTCAAATCAACGCCAGCGCGCGTAACCAGTCTCATAATTCTGCGGACCAACATGTTCAATTCCCACCATCACTGACATACAGATCGTCTATGCAACTACCTAAATTGGAAATCCCTAAATTCAGCGGAGACGCACTCGAGTGGAACCAGTTTCACGACAATTTCTCATCTGCGATCGACAGTGATGACCGATTATCCGAAGTTCAGAAACTCACCTATTTGAAGAGTTTCCTCACAGACGAGGCCAAACGGACAATAGATGGCTTACAAACTACACAAGCCAACTATAAAATCGCCTTCAATTTATTGAAAGAGCGCTACGGACAACCCAAGATGATTATCGACGCTCACATGCGGTCACTTTGGGCGCTACCGGCACCGAACAACGATCCCACGAGTCTGCGACGCTTCCACGATGAGGTCGAGACTACTATACGCGGTCTACGAGTTCTACACATGAACGAGAGCAGTTACGGAGCTCTTTTGATCCCCATGTTGTTGGATAAATTGCCAATTACCTTCCAACAACAACTCGCACGCAATCACGGGGATGACGATTGGACACTCACCGAACTGACCGCTGCTATGCGAGCAGAAATACGAGCTCTCTCTGTCGGCAATAAATTCTCTACACTTTCCTGTGACGATGAAACTGATACAAAGTCTACAGTTGCCGCCTTCTACACAAATACACACGCGAAGAAACCCCACAAACCGAGAAAACCCGCCTACAAGCCGCCCGCTGAACGTAAATGCGTCTACTGCCAAGAAATGCACAACCCGACTTCATGCGTCAAAGTGGCCACCCCAGAACTAAGATTGCAGTATGTCAAAACCAATCAGCTGTGCTTTAACTGTTTGGGATCTCATAAAGCCAACTCCTGTAAGTCAAAGTATAGTTGCAAAATATGTAAGAAGCGACACCATACTTCGCTACATCGTCATAACAAACAATCGAACGACAATAGCTCAAACAATTCAGGCTCTGAAACTCCCCCTGTGAGTGTGAATTTTACCCACGCTTCACAGAAATTGGCGAACCGAAGCGATCGGTACTCAGGCGATCGTAATATTACACCGAGTAATCCCCCAAACCGTGTGTTGTTAAAAACAGCTACTATTCCAGTCTCTTACCGTGGTAAAATGGTCTACGCTACAGCTCTGTTTGATGAAGGAGCCGATCGTAGTTTTGTGACTCACAATCTCGCCCAAAGGCTTAACGCCAACGTACATTTCACTGAACAACTCAGATTGAAGTCGTTCAACAACCCGGACGCCGAATGCAAATCCGTGCCATGTACTACGTTACAACTACATACTAGAGACGGACAGAAAAAGCCCATCGATGTTCTATACGTTAAGGAAATTTCCGATAAGCTCACTAATGTTGTGACAACCAATATTACCAACATGCCCCATTTGCGAGGATTAAATCTAGCCCAAAAACCGATGCCCAGCGAGTCTACTATAAGAATAGACATTCTGATTGGAGCCGACAAGTACTGGGACTATGTCCGTAATCATGTTATTAGAGGCCCGGGACCCACCGCCGTCGATTCCGTATTCGGATATTTACTTTCGGGGCCTGTCGACCGAAACCACGTAACACGCGCCGCGGCGTTCACTGGTCAAACACACGTACGAAATACGCGCTCCAATAGTGTAACCGCTTTCCATTTCACCGCCGAAATACAAGCACTACGAACTAGTCAGGTGTTAGACAAGAACATTGCATCATTTTGGGACTTAGAATCTATAGGGATCCGTGAACAAATCAATCAAGATCCAGTAACAGTTGGTCACACAGAACAGTACAAGCAGTATAGTCAAAACTGCTTGGACGTAGTCAATGGTCGATTTAGCGCCAAGTTGCCATGGAAACCAAATCACGATCCCCTGCCAACTAACTACTACGCAACTGAACAGCGCACGCGAAACATGGTACGAAAATTACCACGTGACATTATTCAGGCGTATGATAAGGTGATTACCGATCAGCTGGATAAAGGTTACATAGAGAAAGTTGTACCGGACAATAACAATACAGGTCACTATCTACCGCATAGGGCAATAAAACGAGAAAGTTCTGCCTCCACCCCAATTCGTGTCGTCTATGATTGCAGTGCTAAATCTGGGGCCGGTCAACCGAGTTTGAATGATTGTTTAGAGATAGGCCCTCACTTGTTGAACGACCTCACTGGTATCCTACTGCGCTTCAGAGCGAATCCGGTTGCCATAACAAGTGACATTGAAAAGGCCTTTCTACAAATTGGATTAAGTACAGAAGACCGCCAATACACTAAGTTCTTATGGCTATCGGACATCAAAGACGTCAACAGCGACTTTTCTACTTATCAATTTTGTTCTGTTTTATTTGGTGCAAGTCCAAGCCCGTTCATATTAAACGCGGCCATCAAAACACTCATCGACAATAACACTGACGTACCAGCCGCGAATGATCTTCAACAGAACATTTACGTAGACGATGTCGTAACCGGGAGCACAAACACGAGTAAAGCCATCCAATATTATCACGATGCCACACAGTTATTGGCTACACGCGGGTTCAACTTAAGAAGTTGGAGTTCTAATGACGCTGCTATACGCGAACTCGCCGCCCATGATGGACGGGGGAAATCCGATAACCCCGTGACAGTTCTCGGTATGAAATGGGACACAAATCGCGACATACTACAATGTAAACAAATCGAGTTGCCTAGTAACGACCCACTGATTACCAAACGTGACATTGTTAGTTACACCGCTAGTTTGTATGACCCATTGGGTTTGTTGACGCCCGCGCATATCGCCGCTAAACGATTAATACAAACGTTATGGAAACAGAATCAACACTGGGACACTCCTATCTCTGATAATTTACGCAACGATTGGGAAGTAATCGCCGAAAACCTCCACTCCGCCTCCAAGATAAACGTGAGAAGACGCTATTTCAATGAAACGGACAATACTGTCAACAACGAAGTTGAAATACATGCGTTCGCGGATGCGTCTGACAAAGCATACGGTGGAGTTGTATACGTAAAATCAGGAAATGGAACTTCGCTCGCCATGTCTAAGACACGCGTAACTCCAGTAAATAACCAGACATTGACCTTACCAAGGTTAGAATTGATGGGAGCCGTAATTGCTACGCGGTTGAGCAAATTTGTATCTACAGCACTGTCTACAAAGTATAATGTTGCAAAACAGTTTTTCTGGTCGGACTCACAGATCGTTTTGCACTGGTTAAATGCACGCGGAAAACAGGACACTTTCACTGCAAATCGCGTAAGTGAAATCGTCAGTTTACCACAAGAGTTTAAGTACGTGCCGACCAAATGCAATCCAGCAGACCTGCTTACTCGCGGTATCACCTCCAAGGAATTACGCGATTCTGAATTGTGGTGGAAAGGTCCTCCGTGGCTGGGAAATCGTGATTTTTGGCCAACATGCGAGTTGTTTGACAAGCCAAACATATCTGTCAATCACGTAGCATTGACACCAACTGGGGACATCGATTTCGCGCCGCTAGTTCATCAGGATATCCCCGCTACCTATGTCAACAAAGAATCAATGACGTCATCATTAGATAGAAGCCCCGCAGTGACGTCACATACCCGGGAAAGCCTTACCCGTGAGAATACTCCGTCGGTACCAGTCGGCAGTCACAATGCATCGCGCACCGTAAACACTAAGGAAGTACCTGTTGGATTACAATATGTGATCAATCTGGATGATTACAATAACAATTACAACAAACTTTTGCGAATTACTGCTTATGTGTTGAGATTCGTACAACTACTGAAATCGAAAGAGAAATGCACCCAAGATAAACCCAGTGCCACGGAATTAAATAATGCAGAAATACACTGGATTACTGACATTCAACATGAACACTTTGCTGATATATTCGTGTCTACCAAAAATGACAATAAGAAATACGGC